CCAGCTGTCCAAGCTCTCCCTTGTCCTCCAGGCCAGAAGAAGCCGACGGACGAGCACCTGGCGCTGGCGGTGCTGCGGCACTGGGAGGACATCCCGCGGGCCGGCTGCCGCCTCGTCCCCGAGCACGTGGAGACACGGCCGCTGCTCAACCCCGACAAGCCGGGCATCGAGCAGGTCTCACATTCCAACGGGAATTCCACATTCCATGGGGGCCAGCGCAGCCCTAGCCCACCTTGGGGCAGGGAAAATCGCCAGTGCCTCCCGATCCATCCTCATCCATTTCACATCCCAAAGTTCCTCCTGATTCCCCATGACTGGGCACCTGGGAGCAAAATTCCCAGCAGATTCCCATGCAGAAGGGATGGGGAACAGAAAATGCAGTGCTGGGAATTTTCTGGAGACCCTGAACCTCCTGGAGTCCTCAGGAGGACTCTGAGCCCATTTTGGGGAGGAATCACAGCCCTGTTGAGTAAAGGGGGGAAAGCAGGAAGAGAGTTCAGTTCTGGTTGTTTTAGAGACCCAATTTTGGTCAGAAATCTCCCAAAATCCAATCCTGGGCTGCCCTGTTGAGTCTCTTTGCAGAAGTTGGGAGCAGAGGAGGGAAAGCTCCCCCTGGTGAGGCTGATCAGAGAGACCACGTGGAAATTATGGAATCATGGAATGGTTTGGGCTGGAAGGGCCTTAAACCCATCCAGTTTCACCCCCTCCATGAGGCGCTTCTGCAGGGGTGGAGAAGGATTTGTGCCGTGGGAGAAGCTTGTCCCACTCCACATCTGGCACGGGCGGAGTGATGGCTGTGGGAAGAGGGGGACACGGGTGGGGAGGGGACAGGAGGGACAAGGGGAGCTGATTGTGCCTCTCCCACCCCGCAGGGCCGCCTGGAGATGTGGGTGGATATGTTCCCCATGGATATGCCAGCGCCCGGCCCTGCCATCGATATTTCTCCCAGGAAACCAAAGAAGTAAGGAACACCAGGGAGAACGGGAGGTTGGGGCTGGACAGTCGGCTTCTCTCATCTCCTGCCACCGCTCCATGGCCCTCTGCTGGGGTTCCTCATCCATGCTGGCATTCCCAGAGATCCCAACACTGGAGGCAGCTCCAGAGCTGCTCCAGAGGGTGGGATCCCACATCTTCCATCCCCTGCAGATCCCGATCTTTCTTGCCCGTGTGAACTTGGGAATTCTATCGTTCCCGGGGCAGAGCAGAGTGCCCAGCCCTGAGCCTCTCCTGGGCATGGGCAGGGTTATCCCAGGGCAGTTTAGATGGAGCTTTTCCAGGAGGTGATGGACAGCAGGATGGGTGGTGGAGGCCACTGGGACAGCCGATCATTCCAAGCAGGAAAAAGCAGGCACAGGCAGCGCACGGAGGGGGAAGAAGGACATTTCTGCCCTCAATATCCCTTCTAGTTCTTTCTCACCCTGCTGGCCTTGGTCCTTTTCCTGCCCCCAGTGCCGGGATACAGGGATGGCACTGGGAATCCCGACGGGCGCCAGCACGGGATGGGCAGGAGCAGAAGGAGAACAGGAAAAGGTGGAGGAACCCCACGGATGGGCTCAGCCAGGGCACTGCCAGAGGGAGATCCCGAAGGAGGGGGTTCAGGAGGCTGCAAATCCACTTCCCTCACCTGGACACTCCCTGGCACGTCCAGTGAGGTGTGTGGCCACGCGTCCTGAGCCTCCCTCCAGCCTCCCCTCGCTGCAGGAGCCAGGATTCCGCCCTCCCCGCTCCCACCGTGGGAGCCACTTCCTCTGTGTGGCAGTTTTGGTTTGAAACTGGGTAGAAACGGTGATTTTTCTGTAGTCCACTAATTTTGCTAATTTGGGAGTTTCTCAATTTCGAGATTTCTTGGTTAAAGTACTAAAGAGTGTGGTAGGTTTTGATATTGGTTAATTACTAGTGTATTTGTTTCTTGTTGTGAGAGAGGATTAGAAGAAAAGAACAGCAGGTTTAAAACTTTAAAAGGGCATTAAAAAAATTATTTATAGTGATTAAAAGGGAGAAAAAGTAGTAAGAATTAAGACAAACTCTTAAAAACATTTTTCCTCTCCCTACAACTTTTTTCGTTTTCTACTGATAATGTAAAGAAACGAAACCTAAAATTTCTGGTCAGTTTACTGCTTCTAAAGTAGTCTCTTTTTTATTATTATTTTTTTTAGTTTACTTAGGGAGAGAAGTCCTTCTTGTTAATGTTATGGAGACTTCTTTACAAGAGGAAAACCAGTTTTCTTGAGGTTCTTAAATTGGTCTTAATTAGCAGCCACCCAGGGGAAATCTGCTATCATGAAGTTCTTATTTTCGACAAGCCTTCATAAATGAGCCACAGCTCATTTATGGATTACATTTATGGTTTATGTTTCACCATCAAGAAATTCCCAGCCAAGCAGAAGGGACGGGAAGCTCCCGAGCCAGCTGGGAATTCCCTGAAGACCCCAAAAACCTCCTGGGGTCCTGAGGGGGACTCGGAGCCTGTTCTGTGTCGGGGATCACAGCCCTGTTGAGTAAAGTGGGGAGAGCGGGAACAAAGTTGGGCTCTGGTTGTTTTGCAGACCCAATTTTGGTCAGAAATCTCCTAAAATCCAGTTCTGTGCTGCCCCACTGAGCCTTTGGCGAGCTCTTTGCAGAGGCTGGGAGCAGAGGAGGGAAAGCTCCCCTTGGTGCTTGGCTCTCCCTGGTGAGACTGATCCGAGAGCTCAGGTGGAGATCCTGGAATCATGGAATGGTTTGGGTGGGAAGAGACCTTAAAGCTCATCTTGTTTCACCCCCTGCCATGGGCAGGGACACCTTCCACTGTCCCAGGGTGCTCCCAGCCCCATCCAAGCCTTGGGCACTGCCAGGGATCCAGGATTCCAGCTGCTCTGGAAATTCCCACCCTGCCAGGGAACAATTCCCAATTCCCAATCTCCCAGCCAGCCCTGCCCTCTGGCACTGGGAGCCATTCCCTGGCTCCTGTCCCTCCATCCTTGTCCCCAGTCCCTCTGCAGCTCTCCTGGAGCCCCTCCAGGCCCTGCCAGGGGCTCTGAGCTCTCCCTGGATCCTTCTCCAGGTGAACACTCCCAACTTTCCCAGCCTGTCCCTATAGGAAGAGTTCTATCTCTGTAATCATCTCCATGTTTGGGAGCCCCTCCTGTCCCTGATCCTGCCCTCTGGACCCCTGGGACAGATCCCTGTGAGCAATTCCCTGTTCCTGGCAGCCAGCCCTGCTTCTGACAGCACCACCCCATCTCCTCCTATCTCATTCCCCACTCCCATTCCTGTTCCCATTTCCCACTCCCATTCCTGTTCCCATTCCCCATTCCCATTCCCTCCTATCCCATTCCCTGCTCCCATCATTTCCCACTCCCATTCCCTGCTCCCATTCCCTGTTCCCATCCCCTCCTATCCCATTCCCCATTCCCATTCCCCGTTCCTATTTCCCATTCCCACTCCCTGTTCCCATCCCCTCCTATCCCATTCCCTGTTCCCATCCCCTCCTGTCCTATTCCCCGTTCCCATTTCCCGCTCCCATTCCCCGTTCCAATTCCCCATTCCCATTCCCATTCCCCATTCCCCACTCCCACTCCCTGTTCCCATCCCTTCTTATCCCATTCCCCGTTCCCATTCCCTGCTCCTCTCCCCTCCTATCCCATTCCCTACTCCCATTCCCCGTTCCAATCCCCTCCTATCCCATTTCCCGCTCCCATTCCCCGTTCCCATTCCCCATTCCCATTTCCTGCTCCAATTCCCTGTTCCCATCCCCTCTTATCCCATTCCCTGTTCCCATCCCCTCTTATCCCATTCCCCGTTCCCATTCCCCATTCCCATTCCCCATTCCCATCCTCTCCTACCCCATTCCCCATTCCCCGCTCCCATTCCTCACTCCCATTCTGCACTCCCATTCCCCGTTCCCATTCCCCGTTCCCATTCCCCACTCCCATCCCCTCTTATCCCATTCCCCGTTCCCATTCCCCGTTCCCATTCCTATCCTCTCCTATCCCATTCCCCATTCCTCGCTCCCATTCTGCACTCCAATCCCTGTTCCCATTCCCCGCTCCCATTCCCCATTCCCATCCTCTCCTACCCCATTCCCCATTCCCCGCTCCAATTCCACACTCCAATCCCTGTTCCCATTCCCCGTTCCCATTCCTATCCTCTCCTATCCCATTCCCCATTCCCCGCTCCAATTCCACACTCCAATCCCAGTTCCCATTCCCCGTTCCCATTCCCATTCCCATTCCCATCCTCTCCTATCCCATTCCCCATTCCCCGCTCCAATTCCACACTCCAATCCCTGTTCCCATTCCCCGCTCCCATTCCCCGTTCCCATTCCCGCTCCTGTGCCTCACCTCCTTTCCCTCCCTGGGGCAGGTACGAGCTCAGGGTGATCGTGTGGAACACCGACGAGGTCGTCCTGGAGGACGACGACTACTTCACCGGCGAGAAGTCCAGCGACATTTTTGTCAGGGGGTAGGTACAGCCTGGAATTCCCCCGGCGCCTCCTCCGTCTCTCCCGGGGTGGGAGTGGCGCACGGGCGGTGCTGGGGAACCCAAATCCAGCCAGGACTGGGTGGATGTGTTCTCACCTGCTGCTGTGCCACGCTTGGAGGCGGGACTGGAGAGTTTGGGGGTCCTCGCCCCCTCTCTGGGGAGAATCCAGCATGGAGAGGACACGAGGGGGAGGGTATAGAAAAAATGTGGTGAGTCCCAGATTCGGGAAGAAGTGATGGTGTCTGCTCCAGATCAGAAGGCTGAAGGACAGCTTTACTAAAACTATACCATATTGCATTAATACACTATTTAAAGAGATACTTTCCTATTCTACATACTCACTTCTTACTTACCTAAGTAACTCAAACTCGTGACTCTGTGCTGAGAGCCCGAGCCACAGCTGGATCCATTGG